CATCTAGAGCTCTGCTACCATAATTATTGGTTATATTTTTCAGCCTTGTTTATCTCGGAGTCTGGGGGTACCAATTAAGAACGTTAAGCCTGCAATTACTGCGTTAAAAATAATAAAAACAATTTACCTAAAATACCTGCAGTTTGTCTGGCGATTTGGTGTGGCAAGTTCAAATTACAGCGTTTGGACATTACCCCAGCTATGTAAGAATTCTGCATCTGAATGATTGGTATAAATTATGTGGATGGAGAGGACTACTAGAAAAGAAGCAGAAGACAGACTCCAAAGTGGTGAGTGGGCTTGATATCTTCGGGCTCCGTGAACTAGCATCTGACTCACGGAATTGTCAAAGTTTTATGTCTCACCTGATCTGCTATTTCTGCCAGGGTTGTACTCCAAAAGGAAGCAGGTAGCCACATGTTGGGATTAACCCTGGGATAATCCTTTGTCAGGGTATGATCCAGCCAGAACTGCCAAGTTAGATCAGGAGTCTGAGCAGCAGCCAGATCGGATCAGTCAGAAGGAAGTATATCTGAAACACTTGCGAAACATCCCCACCAAAGGATCATAATGTCACATAAGAAAAGATTAGTTTAAGACTTGGCATCTTGAAATAAAGAGCTACGGACAGGCATTGCTGAATCACTAGTTCCTTCAGGACAAAAATCTTGAAGAGACTGAAGAGATTCATGCAGGTGGACAAATCAAGACAGACTGAATGTCATTTATGTGCAATCCTATCTGCTTACTGTATATCAGATTGGGATCAGTACATGGACGTACAGTAGGTTTTCCCAAATACACAAACACAGTTTTGATGTACTGTAGAACCTGGCATGCATTCTAAATGTAGAGGAGACAGACATTGGATGTAGGTGGCAATTCAGGAATGTCTGAAAGGTGGAGATAGCTTTGTAAAAAATAGCCATTGTGCCATGTGTTGGAATTTTTTGTATAGTTTCTAATGGATGTGCAGTGATCATTCCTCAACATCCATTCATAAGAACATTAGTGTGTGCCCTGAGCAGTACTTAGTCTATAAAACTGTTCTGAAAACACTCTTGAATTCAGAGCACCTTGGAGGATGCACCTTGTGTGTGTCTTTCTGTGTGTTCTTTAGAAGTTGGCCTTTTTCATAACAAGTTACAATTCATCTCAAACATTTTCTGAAATGTGCAGGGACTTCTGTCTTCCTCTGCAGTGCTCAGCTCTATTCTGGAGGATCAAGCTAGCTTGCATTCTACACAGAAAAGGGGGATTGAAGCAGGTTTGCATAAAGGTGGAATTATGATGTTATGAAGGCAACCAAGACTCTGATATAGGGATTGGGCTCAGGGCAACGCCAGATCACATAACTGCTAACGTCTGAGCTGGTACAATAAAAATGATTCCCATTACTGTCAACCACCAATGGAGGGGCAGTTGAAAATGGAATTCGAATGCCCAGCTTGCTTTGCTCCAGATGAGAAATATAGATGGGCAGTTGAGCTGACAGAGCAGAACTAATCAATATCACGAGGCTGTGTGCTTGAATTTGAGTTGGCTGCTGTGCACCTAATTGGGGGATGTTAATGGCTTTTCATCCACACTGTATAAACCATCTTAACTTTGAAAGATACATTTTAAATGAGCACTCCTTTTGGCTTTAGCAACTCTATGCAAGCAGCCATATATTACTTTTATTGGAAATGTTACTGTTGCTTGTTAATGTAACAGTATCCTGACGGAACGACGCACTAACGTCTGTTGCCAGGTTTTATGTATTTTTGTTACATTTTGACAAAAAATAAAAAGATGCAGATTAAATCCGTTTTCCTAGTGGCCTAAATTAGAAGGCAAAAACAAATTCTGGTGGGACTGATTTGCCTCATCAACCGTCCCTTCCACAAAACAGATTATTAGTGAGGCAGGCTAGGAGGTCTAGTGGCGAAGCACATCACGGCAGCGCTCATAACGTGATAGCGAATCCAGGGTCTGGAGGTCTCTGGTTTCCGTGCGATTACTTGCGACGTGTGGAAAACCGATGGTTTTTGGGGTTTTGCAGAATTATATTGCCTTAATTAAATATGATATATCAGCCCTGAAGTGTTCATAATTAAAAGCATACGCAGACAGGCGCTGTCGTGATAGCAAAAACAGAGACTGCGCTGCAGTTTTCGTCACAGCCAGAACAGCAGTCTGTGCATGTGAAGACATCTTCAACCTGATAAAAAAAAAACGATTCCCATTCAGAAGCGGAACGCCAGTCACGACCAGCAGTCCCTGTAATCTGTTTTGTACCTCCGGCGGAGATGACAGTGTGCTGCGAGTGTCTCAACTACAAAAAAACATTGTAACATCGTCTCCAAGTGTCTATCGAAAGCTGCGGTTAGGCTATTTAAAAAAAAACGTTGTACCAAAAGTTGCCGTTATTGGAACGGTGCACTTTGGTTAACTCGGACATTTTATACACCACAGCCACATTAGAAGAACTTAAGACGTATGTATGCGTTTTTAGAACACGTTACTTGAGTTTTACAAGACGTCAGAATGTTATGCAATCCCAAAATGACTACAGGACATTACAGCAGCATTGTGATACATTATAGATTTTTGGTTGCGATTAAATTATAAAGAATATTTTAACAACACATCAGAAGTGTTTAATATACATTGAAACAACATTTCTGGTACCCAGTTCAACATTTGTACTGTGCTGTGCTTGGAATGACAATGTAATTATTCTCACTGGTTCAACTCAGATTTCTAACCTCACTGCTTTGTTTTCTTCACCGTTTCTGGCAGTGCGGCCAGAGACTATTTGCATGAAAGACTACAGTCACAGTGACATTAGTGTGAGAGCTGCAGTTCAGCTGTAGTTCACATTTTATTAAAAACGTAATTTGTCTTCATAATTATTTTCCTTCCAACTCCATCCAAGGTTTTTGGAGTTCTACAAGCCTAATGAGATATGCAACAAACAAAGATCAGCTGGTTATACTGAAGTTACCATTAGCCCTAAGGCTTATTTGTAATTCTTGGGTTCAAGGTTAACACAACCCATCCTTAGTGACTTAGTGGGATTTTCTAAAAGAGTCTGACTTTATATAAGAAAGAAACTCCAAGAGACACTTTGGTGTGATAATCTGAATGGTTGCAGTTTTCAGAACTTCTCAAAATAGCTTTTGATTGACCTGTTGTGCCATATAAGCAATTGCGTGAAAATCTGGGGAGATCGGACTATTAATGATAATACAAAAATACTGTTGATAATGACTCATAACGCCAGTGTGTAAAAGACTAAAGCATGTGGTCTAGATTAGATAAAGAGCTTGTTTTTTTATCTTCTGAAACCAACAAAAGCAACATGGACTTTTGATCTAAAGCGCTCATAAAAAATGGTAATATACAGTATGCAACCTTTAAAAACACCAGAATGTCATTCTAATTGCACAAAATTCTAGACTTCAGAGTTAGTTTTTATATAATTAAACAGATTTATCCAATACAGGTGGCAGGGGAACAGAAGCCAATCCTGGCTCGCAAGGGATACAAGGTGGAATAACACCCTGTACAGGACACCAGTCCATCACGGACACACAGACCATAACAAAAACACACAAACTTGGACCAGAGGCAATTTTCCCAGAAGGCAATTAAACCACCCTATGACTTTGCATTGTGGGAGGAAACCAGAGCACCTGAAGGAAAACCATGTAAACATGGGGAGAACATATAATCCACACAGATAGGACCCCAGGTCGGGACATGGACTCAGGGGCCCACTGCTCTACACAGAGTTATCAGTAACAAACTATCTATACCTTTTGAAAGGAGCCAAAAGTACGTCTTTCTATCGCAGAGGACCTGCTTGTTGGCAAGAGAAAACCTTATTTCATTTGTTCCTGCAGTTTTCTAATGAAATACTATTAAATAGCCACCCATCCATTTTCTAATCACTTCATTCATTTCAGGGCTGCAGGGTAGCCAGAGACTATTACAGCAAGCACAACAGGCACAAGGCAGCATACACACTGACTAGTAGAGCATCTATATCACGTTACATATAATTAAATGTGCCATTTTTTAATTAAATGAGTAACCACAAACCAAAAGGTTAGGTAATCCATTTTTCCAGTTACACTTTTAATTTCTCTTGTAATAGTGTTTATGCAGCTGCTGTGTAATTTCAGTGGAATGACAGTATAAACACAAAAGGTATACCAGTGGTAAACACACAATTTGTCATCAGAAAACCAGTTAATAAAGTATGAACACAGAAGACAAGAAAAGAGAAGGAGGTACTTCAATTGAAAGGGATGGAAAGGAAAAAAATGCAGTGAATAAGATCACATCTGAATCTGTTAACTAACGTCAGGGCCCATAATCCTTGGCAGGTATAATAAAAATCAGGGGAAATGTCTTAGTATATACACCTAAAAATAACAGCACAAGAAAAATGTTTGTTAATGTTATTTTGGCTACAAGCCTAGTAACAGAGAAATTCCAGCACTGCGAACCCCTGAAAGAGCAACAGGTGTTCTCCTTCAATGCAAAGACTGCTTCAGTCTTTCCTAAGTACGTACAGTATATGTTCTCAAAGATATTCTATGTCTCATTTCGACAAAAGGTTGTTTGAGCTTACACTTTGGAAGCAGTTGATTTCCAAGGGAACTTAGCCTCTTCAGTAATATGTACTGTAGCGTCCCTGCCTAATGTCCCTGTTGTGTGTGCATAAATTGATATACAGGTTGTTAAAGCATACCTGTACATGGCCTTGGTTTAAACTTCAATGCTTGTTTTGTATTATGGAGTGATGGATTAAGATATAAATGTACTGAAAGTACTGCATTATTTGTTTTTTAAAGAAAAATGTAGAAACACAAATGCCATTTTATACTTCAAAAGAAGTAGAATAGTTTATACTTGATTTGAAACCTTTAGAAACAACCTTGTATTGCTTATAAAAATATGCTTGCTATTGCAGAGCAAAGGACAACATGAAATCGATGTTTGTATTTCAGTCCTTTAATCAGCCAGCGTGGAGAAGAGACCTGCACCTGAGAGACTCTATTCTGGGATTACGCAAAGAGGACAAGATCCAGAGTAAGAAATTATATAACATATTCAAACAGATGTTTTTTTTTAAATGAAGATGGTTTCACTCTGGAACTGGTTGTCCTGCAGACCCTGAGGTTTTGGTGTTTGAGAGAGTCCAGCCTGTGTGTGGTAAGTGTGGATTCCTCACTTTGGAATGGTATTCAATCCAAACTGCAGGAAGCTTTGAAGATGCTTTTTATGTGCTGTAGTGGTCACACTGGAGTTTCAATGTGAGAGGGCGGTCTTTTTTTTTCCTCTCGTACATTTTTATAAATTTATTTTTGAAAAGCTGGGCTTTCTAAGCTTTCTGGTGGCGTCTGCTTTTTATATCGGAAGTGCACCTTGTTAAAGCACGCTGGGGCACACAAATCTCAACCTCAGCATTTAAATCAGCAATGAACTTAAATGAGTCCAGAGTGATTGATTTTAGCAGTGCTGCTAGCCAATTGCTCACAGTGAATGGAAACAAAGTCCTCTTTTCGTTTGTTTGCTGCTGTGTTTTCAAAGTCATGGATTTATTTTGTCTGCACATGTTGTGCCTAACCATGTTTTAATTATTTAATACCAAACTTTGCTGTGCTCTCACTTTGGTATATCACGGTTCCTTTTTGTAAGGGCACAAAAACCCTTGTGCATATTAGGCACTATAGAGGTGCTATATAGTAGAGGCACTATTACACTCGAGGTAGAGTACAGGAACAACATCTGCACCTGAGCTTCTTGATCTTCACGGGTGTGTCAGGAGATGAAAGGACTCAGGTATATCAGACTGCGATCAGTGCTACACTTCAATGGGAAGGATGTGGTTTTACAGCACCAGCTGCTCGGGGAATTCATCCAGAAGAACGCAGTGTGACTCAGTGTCAGGCCAGTTCCAGTCTGAAGCAACAACAGATGAGCTGTTGAGGATCGAAGACTGTAAATCACTTCACAGGTGAAATCAAGGACATCAGGTTCCTTCCTTAACGGTACCACCTCTCCATTAGCCTGATGGTGCTTTCCAGATAGACAGACAAACAGTAGGGACAGTGTAAGGGTGTCCATACCATGAGTTATGCACAACAGACAGTACCCTCTTCTCCCTCCTTAAAATATCCCCTTCCCCTGTAACACCCTGTCCCATCTTGCACAATGCATGGGACTTAAGAAAGCCTTGCTCTTTAATGCTCTTTAATGCATGATTGTGTTCCTGTGTGGAACTGTAAAAAAATCTTTCTAAAAAATGCAAGGGCACTTTTACAATTGTTTAAGCTCAGAAAAGTATAGATCCAGACCTTCTGCTCGTTTTTTTTAAAGTAACTGCAGCAGGTTTCCCTTGATCTGGTAGCACTGCATGGAGGACCTACACACATGAAGCCCCTGCCACAGCCCTATTTTCTGAGGTTGGACCAACCCTGATGTACAAGCCTTCCCAACCTGACTTGGTCCATAACCTGCTTTTGTCTGAACAGCTTCCTCTTTAAACCTGATTTTTGAGGATGTGAAAATGTGCTTCTCCCATCTAGCCTCAACATTTACGGAAACCGAACACTGCTTTTAATATTTTTTATCCTGCTGGAGAGCCAGCCTGCTTCTCCCCTTTAGTCACATGAAGGATAATGGCAAAGTAAACAATGAAGATACAAATCCTTGAAGTCGTTTTAAGGGCGGGTGAAGGCAACAAGCTTCTTAAAGACTATTCTGAGCAGTGAAGAAACGGGAAACTTTTCTATATTCATTCCAAGCACTTTTTTCAACTGAAGAACAACTGATGATGATTTGGTTGGGTGGATACATGCTAAAGCATTCTGCGGCTTCAGCATTCCTCATGCTCACTGGTCCATCTCTGAGTGCTGAGCATAGTCAGGGCTAATTTGGACCCAAGACTCAATTCAGATGCTACATAAGATCATATCTGCTCTCTCTGCGCGTGTAGTGGGAATGATTTTTGGAAGCTGGAGTGTGCATACTGAACTGTGGGATTTGCATGGCTTTCTGTAGTTTGTGCACAGCAAAGAGGTGAGAATGAGCCATTGTGGTTCTCAAGGATATTCTCAAGGATAAACAAGTGTGTAGATAGGATGCAGAATCTGTTCTCAATAGTGTAACTCCAGAAGCATGGCTAAAATTATCTTTTTATGCTGTGCATTTACCACTTTACTATTTGTTTTGTGTTAAGAGAGCTCTTATGGTAATTGTGGTATTGTTCCATTGAGGGATTTAAGGGGGACCGCATAGTATGGGTTTTCTCAGCAAAAAAAGGAAAGCTGTACTGAGCTGAAATGAATTGTGGCTGAGGACTGATGTACCCCACAGTTTGAAGAAGTCTCTGAGAATATGAACTAATCGAGATTGCTAGTTGTGATTCTAAGGCAAATTTGTTATGAATAATAAATAAAATGTGAATACAAATCATAGCTTTTTGCAATGTCATACACTGAAATCTATCTGCCATGGGTATGAATATAAATAAACTTTAATAAGCTCTTTGCTTCATTTCTCACTGGCTGGCTGAACCACTGAATGGCTTCTAATTCTGATCATTGAGTGCATAGTCTCTCTTTGTCTGTCTGTTATGAGACACATGAATTATTTGTTTGCTCTGAAAGCTTCACACTGTGAGAGAACAGAACCTAAAGAGATTTCTTAATCTGTTATGTGTATAGAAAATCAAAGTCAACAACCATATACAGGTCTTTCATCAGCTTGATATATTTGTGTTTTAAGCATAGAAATGGGCTTTAACTCTAACCATTTAGAGTTATGGTGTTTGTAACAGCAGGGAAATGAGCCTTAATAAGCCCTAATGAGAGCAAAAAAAGCTGCCTATGGCCATTTACTATGCTTATATCTTTGAGAACCAGAATTAGATTTATCTTTGGATGGTCCTGCTTTCTTACTTTTTGAAACAGTCAAAGCTTTGAAATTGCAATTTACTGTATGCAGTCTTATCATGAAAAAAACTTTTGCGTGTTGAAAACTCAATTATTAACAAGGGGGAATGATAATTCAGAACTGTACCGAAATTTGTTATCAATAAGTTCTTTTTTAGCTGTGAAGCAGAAGAGAGGACACACCTGATGTTTTTACCCTCACAAATCGAAGGAGATCTGAGGTTACTTGAGCATGTAAGAAACAAGCTGTTCTATGTTTAATACCAGTTATGGGAATAATTTAGAATGCAATTTCCTGAAAATTAGCTTAGATTTTTGACAGATAACAGAAAAAGCTTTTTTTTTGCTTTTAAGTTTTAATGTCATATTTAAGAGATTTCTGTCCATCTATGTGGCAATTCGGTTCACGCAATAAATGTGAATTGATTTATCCCCTAAGTGAAAAGGAGAGGCCAGGGAATAGAAAACCGATGTTGAGCTTTGGCGCCAGGGCCTCAAACCACATGGAAGACGCTACATCACGCAACAGACTGCGCTGCGCACCAGACGTCGTCTCTGCAGCGCCACTTGACATGTTCATCAGGAAAGCAGAAGAGAAGTGTGGGCTCTCCGCCTCTGACTCACGACCACAGTGCAAGACTAGTGGGGCACCTGCACGCCTTATATCGGTGCTGGAATCAAAACAGATCGGCCCGTGTGTCTCCCTCGAGCTCCTGGCCCCACACCCCCCTCCTATCCCTCTTCTGCTTTTGCAGAGAAGCAAAACAAACCAGGACAGAAAAGCAAAGGGCAGCTTCTCAATGGTCCAGAGTCCCAAACATTCACACAAACCATAATAGCTGGCTCTGAAAGTGAGTTACGACTCCAGAAACTTGCTCTCACAGTAAATGATGTAACACACAACATCTCTTCTGAAGCACTCTCGTGTTTCACTCTCAGACACCTATTTTTACTAAATTTATCTTCTCCAGAAAGCACAGTCTACTGTGCTGAGACCCCTTAAATAACTAATTTGTTCCAACAGGAAGACAGGGACATCTGATTTCTGTAAAAGATTCATACATTAAAAAAAAACAAAACTAAACAAGTTGGCAAACATTACAGCTTCAGTCTCTCCAGCTGCATTTCATTTGCAATTTGCCAAAATATGCATATAATTATGATAAATGATGTATAAGAAACCTTGCTGGTGAGATAAAATTATATCTTTTAAGAGACCGCATATCTTGAGTTTTTTTTCTCAAGAGTTCTTAAAATAAAAAAAAAGGGAAAAGTATCTGCGACTATTTTACTGTAAAAGTTTACATTGATCTGGAATAGTTTAAGCTTTGTCCTTCCTCCCCTGCAATCGCTGGCCCCTAAGTAAGAAGTTTATTAGGGTGCAACATAACCAAAAGAACTAATATTTATGCAGAAACATTACAATTAAAATTTGGTTTTAGACACTGGATCCAAACCCTTGAAGTGCGTTCACATCTGTTCCAAGATAGCTATTTCAAAACTAAATTTAATTCAGAGTTTCATTTATACAGGCAAATACTTCATCACCTTATCCTCCCTGTCAGAGAGAATTAGCTTTCAGCACCTGAATAAAAAAGCATGTTATGTATGGCAAAGCTAGAGAGAACTCTGCTCTTTTTAGCACTTGAACACAGAAGACATTGTGGAGTTTTGGTTCAGCTCCTCAGAGTCCTGACAGCAACTGACAAAGTCCACTCAAATAATAGCTACTTTGTGGATGCTAAATTCAACTGTGTTTGGAACTGACAACAGGAGACACTTCTTTGCACAACAGTCTATTGGAAGTAGAGTAAAAAACAAACTTACTCAACCATGTAGTAAAGAGTTGGTAATTGGGATTCTTCAAAAAGGCTGCTTGATGGCTTTCTTAGAGTTAAAGGGCAATATGCTGTTTATTATGGCTGGTAACATGTTTGTTTAAGGATGTTCATGCCAACTGTATGTGGTCCTCAGTGGTCTCGCTTTTTCTACACAAATATTTCTGAAATCTCGCACTTATTTGTAATATCTCAGGTTATTCAACATAAAAGTCTGGTAAACAGTTTTTTCTTTTCAAGGTTATTAGTGACATGTGTTCAAACACATGTTGGCCTGCACATATGGGGGTGTGCGCACGTGTGCGAGTGTGTTAGTGTGTGAGATTGATCACGGATAAAGGCACTTGAGTCTCGTGCCTCCGAGCACCTGAGGGAATGTAGTTTTTTTTTTAACTGTAATCCAACACTCTGAGCCTCTTGTTGCCCAATCCTTCTACTTTCTTTTAACACCTGTGTTCCTCTGAGCCCTTGCCAGTTTTCCTGAATACCTGTCTCTGCATGTTCCTGCATTTTAAATGCTTAGCAGGGTGAGTGATGACTGCTGGAGGGGGCACAACAGGTAATTGTCATTCTCCACTTTGCATCTCACTCACCGGGAATTCCTAAATCCATCGGCCATGTCACTCAGTGCTCGTGGGGCCAAGGGATAGGGAGATGAGGAATGAATGAACGACTAACATTTTGCAACTCGGGAAACATCCATCATCTCAACAGAGTTAATCCACAGTACCTTACCTTAAAGCCTTGAAACAACCACAGATTGAAGCCATTATCCATGTTTTCACTTACTCTTCAGTCCCAGTTGGGACTGCAGGCCAAAACCAGTTTACACTGAACATTTATAGGATAGCTCTGCACCGGTTTAGGGCAGATTAAATACAAGCAGAAAACTATTAGGCATCCTAATAGTGGTCACCTCCAGTGGTGACTGTGAGCTAGCTCAGAGTTACCTGATCTTCAGAGTTAGAATGCTAACTAGAACAGCTACAAGCTAACACAGCCTCAGCTTAGAAATCAACTGGAGCTGCCTTGCACGTAATTAATCAAAACTCCACTTATGTGAACTGTGTAATTTCTGTATTGATTGCTGGTTTGACTTCCCTGTTGTCTTTATTGATGTTGCTGTGGCAGTGTATGGTTTTCCTGGGATACTGCGATCCTAGTCATTGGAGGAACTGCGGTTTTGCTCCCTTTGCTTGGACAAGATCACGGTTTCATATATAGTACAGTACTTCTGACTTTGCACGGCAATTCGGACAGGAGCTGAGATGTTTATTTCAGCGTGGCAAATGTGACATCTACCAGTAGATACTCCAGTCAAGAGGGTCCACTGCTCAGGCCTCAACCAGTTTAGGGCCTTTCCATTGTACATGCAGCTACTAAAACGATGAAGATCTCCACGATCAGTTGGACCGAACACAGCCTGGTCCTTTCTCCAAGAAAAAACTCACAGCCAAGGTCAATTCTTCTAATCCTGAGCTTTCTTAGGAATTTAGAACAAGAACACAGGAAAAGTTGTGACATACTGTTCCTATGTAGTTCCTCAACATATCTGTAGTCCTGCATTGCTTAACAATGTGGAACCACTCTTGGCTTAGTCTCTATGGGGTGACAAGCAAGAGTAAGTGCCACATGCCTGATTGAGGCGACTCCTTCCACAGAAGATCAATTTCCATTTTTTCAGCTCCTGGAATCACTGACCTAACACCTGCCTGATACTGGTCGGGTTGCAGCTGAAAGAGAGGTAAGTAACCGGTTCTGACATAATGTCTCACAGAGAACCATATGGCTTATTTCATTCCGAGGTTAAACCTTCTCAAAAGCATTTTCCTCAAACGGGCTCTGACTCATTTCGTACAAAATGAACAGTATGTAATGCTTCTTAGGCCGAAACTCGCCCTTGAAATCAGTAAAATAAACAGATTGTGGTGGCAAGTGTTTTTGAGCTCTCCAGCTCAAAATACAGACGCTCAAGCATCGCAGCCCACAAGACACACTGCTGTGTGTAATGAATCCACAACTAAAGCAGGGAAAAAAAAATACTTGGCGCAATTAAACAGATACTTGACATTGAGACTTTGCAAAGGAATAGTCTTTCATTGTTTTATCCTCGTATTTGGGAAGAGTGCTAACACAGGTTCATCCACCCATCTACTTTCTAATTGCTTTATGCAATACAGGGCCTCAGGGGACCCAGAGCCAATCCCATCAAACAGTGGGTGCAAGGCAGGTTATACCCTGGATGGGATGCCAGTCCATCGCAGGACACACCTAGGCACAAACATGCATACACTCACACCAGGGCCAAATTTCCCAGAAGCCAATTAACCTAGCAGCATGTCTTTGGACTGTGAGAGGAAACCGGAGCATCTGGAGGAAACCCACTCAAACACAAGGAGAACATACAAACTCCATGTAGATAGCACACCAGGAATTAACCCTAGGACCCCAGCTCTGTGAGGCAGCAATGCTAACCACTGCTACCCTGTACTGGATAAAGGAGTAAGACAATGAATGGATGTATACAAACAGACTGTAAAGTGAACTGTGCTGAAAATAAAGACAGGCGGTACAATAGAGGCTTGAACCTAGAACCTTTATCTGCTTAGGTCTTTTGTGGCTGAGTGACTCGTCTCCAGCATAATTAAAAGTGGGGGGAGACATTTTTTTCTTTGTCTTATCTTGTTTATTGCATTGAGTTTCCTTTTCTATTGGATTCATGCTTCCTAAGCATTCTTTTATTAAAAAAAGGATACTTTAAGGAAAGAATGTAGAATCTTATAAATATAAACAAATATTTTTATCTGGACACTGCTGGTCTGTATGGAAAACGGTGGGTATTTATTAGAATTATAACGCCCCCTGGTGGTTTCATTCAGTTCGCAGTTGTTGGATATTTTTTTGTATGTGCACATTGCATGTACTGTAAGAATAGAAAAGGCAAACATCCATTTTCTGTTCTAAATTTTACAATGATGTTATACGCTAGATTTCAGGTATGCAACAACTGTGGATAGGGTGTTTTAAAACTGAATGTGGTTTTTATCGAACAAAGGTATCACATAATGTGATTGTTACTGTTGTTGGAATCTGGAGTATTGTATTCAGTTCAGGTCAAATCAAGCTGGACAGAAGAAATCCAGAGACAAGTAACTGACCTGCTGTAGGAGAGATGAATGTATGCAAAGCTGAAAGGCAGCTGTCTTAATAAAATTGTGAAGAGAAATTTATGAGAGTAAATTATCAGTCATGTTGGTGGTTAGTTCTGCCTGGGTATCAACGAGAGTAGATCCTTGAATGAATAAAGTGAACAAAAATTGTAGGAGTGTGGTTGTCACCTTTACAGCCTTGTAATTAAACCATTTAGAAGTATTAAAGAAATCAATTTGTGATTAAAGGAATTAGCATTTGGAAGAGTCTGTAATGAATCCTTGTGACCCAGGATAGAAGACTGTTGTACCACATGCAAAATATATTTCTTGCATCAGTCAGTCTAGAGAAGAGCAACCAGACACCTTTCCAGGTTTAAAGGGATTTCCATTACTGACAGGTTAATAGAACAGAAACTTTCTAATCTTGAACAGGAACGATTAAGAGGGGACCTGATTCGAGATAGCAAATTCTGCAAAGGCACTGACAAAAGGCATAGACTTCTTCAAAATCAACAATGAAAAGCAAACCAGAGGTCATAAGCCCAATCTATGTTAAAGTATATTTAAAATCAACAACAGGAGACACGGCTTTATGCAAAGAGTTGTGGGAGTCTGGAACAGGGTACCCAGTTATTTTGTTGAACCAAATATCATTTGAGAACTGTCTGAATGTGATCCTTGAATCAATTGCCTTCTAACTACACAATGGGCTAGAATGACTTCTTCTCGTTTCAGTGTTCTTATTGGTGATTGGGGAGATATTATGGCCAGGCTAAAAAGAGCATGTGTCTTGTAGCATGTTTAAAAGGATAAGGAAGTGGAATTTTTGACAATGTGTTGGCAGAGCATGTATATTAACAGGATGTAGGGCAAATAAATCGGAAGGTGTTTTTGACATCTTTAATTCTATAGTGGTGGTTTTCATTACACAAGAACTTTGGAGAAAAATGAGCTACTGAAACCAAGCTACAGTATGTGCACGTTCCCCCTGTGCCTCAACATGTTACTTCCAATTCTTTGAAAAAGGGACTGGTAGTTTCAGAGTGCACTGCATAACTATTAATCTCCAGTTAAGGGCAGACACGATTCAAAATTATGCAATAACAAATCCTTGAGAACAGGTTTTATAGATAGCCAAGGGGAGATGATAAACTTCTCTTGTTAGTGTTGTCAAAGATCTTGTACATATTTGCATAAGGGTATTTTTTGAGGCATTAAAATATGTGGGATTTGCATAGATAGGGAGTTCCTTCCATTTTTCCTAGAAAAAACATTTTTGAAGTTGAAAGTGCTTATGAAAGGAACATGTCCTGACAATCAAAAAGGGCTTTTGTTATTTGGGTCCACATCTTTCTTTCCTGCTAAAGCTGTGACAGAGCCTGATAATCCTGCTCTCTGTCGAAGGACATCTGAAGTGACTGACCCAAGAGCGGTTCAGAACTGCAGACACAGACAAATTGGGTGGGCAGTCACAAATCAGATCTGGAATTCAGCTGAAATGACAACCCAGCGCCCTCCGCCATGACGACCTGTCCCACGCAGTTCTCATGCTCAGGCTGAATGGCCAGGCTGCGTTGCCACAGACAATTTCTGCTTTCGCTTCACAAGAGTTTCTGTTCTTTGTCATGTTTACAGCCGGTGACTTCTTCATGAAAAAGTCGCACTGCGGAATCTTTTTTCATTCCTGCCCCCGGGAGTGGACAGATGGAAAGTCAAAAACTGAATTTGTGGAGAATTCGGAGGACTGGTGTAATCCCACTTTTCTGACTTATACAGGTAAAACTATTAAATGAACTAACTTCAGACACTACAGTATTAGATGGACCTCAGAGTCCATGTATTAATTATTTTTTTCCCTACTAAGAAGTGAGGTGTGAGCCCTGAACTTCCATAATTTGTTGTTACAGAACCCATCAGCAAAAAATGGCCACTTGGAGAGACAGAACAGCGCCAGCCTCTCCCTGCCTGATAAAAAATATATATATATTGGCCATCTGTGAGAGAGTCTGGTTTAGCTCCTACAGGATACATGAGGCCAGTGATGCGTACACAAGTGCTCCAGTCTGCATTTTTACATGTGCTCTTGTGTCCAGGGCTCTCAGTTTAATATGAATTGAAGGTGTATGTAGTCAAATGTTATTCAGCAGTTTATGCAGTGTGAAGACAGTTTGTATCTCTTTGTTTGCTATACTTTGAGTAACTGTAATTGGAAGCCAATCATAAAATGTTGTAAAAAGTCAAATCAAGGCTGCCAACTTGCATGGTGTAGCAGCTGAGGCTGGGCTGTCCTTCACTTTTCTGTGACCTTCCTAAACCCTAAACCAAGAGTTGCCGAGGGACAGACAGGCGATGAAGGAGCAGCGGTTTGAAGGATACAGCCTGTGACGTGTCCCCTGGAGAGCCAGCTGTGAGGCACAGTAATCTCTCACACTGTACCTCTGAGAGGCGCAGCTGTTTCTGAGCGGAAGGAGCTAGAGAAATGTAAAATAAAACGAGCCAGGGAGAGCGTCTGGGGCGGCACTGAAAGATTAAGGCAGTCAATTGCTCTTTGCATTCAGGAAAAATCTGTACCCCCCCCCCCCTTCACTCCCAACCAACACTTGGTGTTACATTTCTTCTTTTAAAAGACAAGGGGTTAGGCTTTGAAGCAATTTAAAATATTTCTAAACTTAACAATTGTAGCCACAGCTTCCCTTTCATGGTTATGACCCGGGCTTTCACTGGTAAATATTTTATCAAACTGTGACTGGCACTAAGAGCCTAAAGTCATTTTCCTGTGACTGTTTGCTTCAAACAGAAGCATACAGAGGGAAAATAAAACCTCCCCTGCTTTCACCTGTTCTCCTCTCACATTCGAGGGCATTAAGGAATGCCATAAGAGAATTGTTAATTGTGCTACAAACAAAATCTGCATTAAAGTTCCCAGCATCCACCAAGATTTTGGTCAAGCAACCATACAGTAAAAAATTCAGCTTGCCTTTCCTTTTGGCCTACTGGTCTTCATGCAGCTTTCACGCGGGTGAGAGGAATTTCAAAGAGCCCTGGGCACATGAGAAGCAGGGGGAACAGCATTAGGTGAAGTTTGGGGAAGGGGGCAGAGGGGGGTAATAGAAGAGTAAGAGAGAGGGAAGGTCAGTGCTGGCACACTGAGGCAGCTAGTGTATTCTCCCCAGATTTCACACCGGACAGCTGAAAATTCTCACACTTTACTATTGCGGGATCATGTTCCACAGACGGGAGAACATCAGCAAAACGTTTTAATTGCCGCACTCAATTGCTGTGAGCACTAGAGTCACGTAGCTGTGGCCATGTGGGGAAACACGAGAACCAGTTTTAGCGTCTGCAAACTCAGAACCGCACATGGAAAGTTCTCAGATGGGCCGAAAAGGATTGGGGAAGGGAGGAGGCAGAGAGCAGAACGTGATAACATAAGATTACTTCACTTAAACCATACAAGGTGCATAATTTTTTTAAATAACCAAATCACAGCATACTTTCTTATACAATTACTGATAATCATGTTAAGAAGAGGAGACTTTGGTGCAAAATCCTGACAGAGGACTTGAGATTAAATTATAGAATGTAAAATACCGCCACCTGTTGATTTATGGGAGTGTATGCATTGTATGTAGTTTCCAGCCCAAAACCCGTGCTGTTTCTCCATTGGCATTTTAGATGTCCATGTTGCTGTAATGGACAAGTTATATCAGAAAATGTCAGTACAAATATCACTTCTTTTACTAAAGTTCTCTTCTTGTACTGACACAGGGGTGTCAGTTGCAGATCTGGTCAAGTTATTTAATTAACAGCATAATGGTTCATATTTCTAGCCAGACCTGAACAGATATTATAGGTTAATATATTAATATTATTATAGGTTTTTTTTTCAGGAATCAATTGTGAAAGATGTGAAGAAAAACCCTTTATTTAGTTTAAATCTGAAAATAATTAGGCTAATTGTCAACTTAAGTCCGGCCAAACACTAGAAAGCCCTACAGGAACTGTGTGTGACACTGCTGTAGATAGCATGTTCAGTGACAAAGGAGGCTGCACCGTGAAGACTGACCTGTGACATGATTTGAAGCCTGCAATTACTGTACAACGGTTATAACAGTTAGCTTTGTGACCAGATTCCTGTTTTAAGGATGTTAAGTGGCAGATCACTTGAAAATTGCCTGAAGGCTGCACAGCTGAAATGTTGCATCTCTCTACTTTTCCTTTCAGCATGGAATAAACCTTTACTGTTCCTTTGCAGCCTACGCATGCTGATGCAGCTCCCTACTTGAAGCTGGAAGTAGTTTTGCTTGCAAGGTTGAGCTGAGTCGTCCTCCAAGGCTTTCAAGGTGTAGCACAGAATCCTGCACGAGTCCAAAGTAGATCTACCTACACTGTAGCTCAAAACTAACAAAAGGGTGAGGGCACTGGTAAAGAAATCAAGTGAAAGAAATGTCTCCATTTTAGGGTGCTCCTGCTCTCAGCCCACATACTGATATTGGCATCCTAGAGGTGGCTAAGGATCTGCACCTGTGGCTGGAAGGTTGCTGGTTCAAATCACGCAGCTGGCAGAGGAATCCTACTCTGTTGGGCTCCTGAGCAAGGCGCTTAACCCCAACTGCTCCAGGGGTGCCGTACAATGGCAGACCCTGCGCTCTGACCCCAGGCTCTCTCCCTGTCTGTGTGTCTCATGGAAAGCAAGCTGGGGTATGCAAAAAGACAATTCCTAATGCAAAAAATTGTAAAGGGTTAATAAAGTGATGTTAAATCCCCATTATCCAGGCAGACTGTGTGAAGGGCAATTTAAAAAAAATAATATATACGTATTAAGTATGCATTCTATTCTCTATTGGATTTAGACTGCATTTGGCATTTTCCATTTCTGAGCAGACACACGCGTTTCTATTCATCATGAAGAAAGTACCTTAGCCAGACATGCCCTGCAGGCTACAGATGGGATTAATTCCCTTGACTTTCTTCCTTTCTTGACACGATCGAGGAGCAGACGAGTGGCAGATGATACAAGATCCCACGGCCTCCTCGGTTGTCCTGCTGTGACAAGTGTCATTCAACAAGCAGCGGGATGCTCGCCGAACAAAAAGAGATGTTTTGCAGCTTTCTGTGTCGGAGCTTTGGGATGAACAGCATGAGGCATGTTAGAGCCTTGAAATCAATAACATCCATGCAATGCAATACCTCTGCAGGTTTGCAGAAAAAGCCAGAGTGCTTTGATTAAATAAAATGGAAACAATTATCTTACAGAGCTGTGAAATTGGTTATGACAAAGCTAAAATGCTTAGGTCTAACCCGTTAATAACACTAGGACAATACCTCTGCTTGAATTCTTAGAACTTGTCCAAAAAATGCATTCAAATGTCTTTTCTAGTTGCTTCATAGAGGAACAAGCAACCAATCCATTTAGTAAAATTATTTTTCCATAGATGGCGCAGTGGTACCGTGGTTGCCTTGCAATAATGGGACCTGGTGTTCAATTCCTGCTACCAGGGGTGCTACCTGTGTGGAGATCGTATGTTCTTTCCGCGTTCACATTGTTTTCCTCCCACAGGCCAAAGACATACAGGAAGGTTAATTGGCTTCTGGGAAAACTGGCCCTTGTGTGCCTGTGCGTGTGCATTTGCGCTTTGATGGACTGGTATCCCATCCATGGTGTGTCCTGCCTTGTGTCTGTTACCAGCTGTTACTTGCTGGTTCCCCTGTGATCCTGAATTGGATAAAGTATTAAACAAAGGGATGGATAGATAGACTTTGCCCTAAATGTAGTTCATTAGTACAGTATAGGTTGCAGCTTCAAGTGGACAATGTTATTTTAAAATGCTTGTTGCATCTGCTTGTGTTCTGTTGTTTTCTAACTATTGTCTCCAATAACATGTTAAAGCGAAAGTTAACACTTGATGTTTTCAGCATGATACTGGCCTTTCAGCACTGTACTATGGAGTTATATAAGACAAAATAAGACTTCTAAAATTATACCCATAATATTATTTTGCAGATGCTCATCAGCAGCAATTCACTTTATCCCAGAGATACTGAACTGTCAGAAAGTCAGGTATGAAAATCAAACTTACACCTCCTGAAACAGCTAGAATCAACACAGCAGTTTAAACCATAAGGCCATAATAATCATAAAACTGGCCTTTCCACAGTTTTCACACAGCCAAAAAAGTATTCACACATTTCGGGGTGGGGAGGGGCAGAATTAAAGGTCCATATATTCTGGTGCCTTCCGGGAAACTTTTACGTAAAGATCAAGGATCTAGCTGTGGTGTTTTTGGGTAAATGAAGTTAACCTCACGTACGTGTTGTGACCAGCAGCTAGAGAAGAAATACAACACGCTTGTGGAAAAACAAAATATTATTCCACGTTTCCAAAAACGTAATTGATGCACTAGGCCGACAGAAATGAACAGGCTGTCTGTCAGAGTTGCAGTTTACAAGCTGGCAGCTAAAAATTGATTTTATAACGTAGTTTTCATTCCAGAAGTCATAACCATCTTGGCATAAACTCAGCCTTATAGCTCTGCCAGCAAGGGCTCAGAAAATAATGAAAAAATAGTTTTCAGACATTTACTGACCCTTCTCAGGACCAGAAATGCCATTAAAAAAAAGGAAAAATACACATTTTTAAAAAGTGTTCTTGAGATTGTTATGTATTATTCTAGCAACAAAGATTATTATTACTCTGAATCTAGTACGAATAAAATGATGATAGAAAATTAGAACAAATAATAATTGCAATTTCAATACAGTTCAAATATAGATGTGTTCAAGAAACGGGCGGGTTGACATACACAGATTTTTTTCCAAAAGACAATGGAATTCAATTAAAAAACAATTGTTTTAAGTTGTACTATAACTCTGAAACTATAATACATGTCAGAGGAATTAAGTCTGCATACATATGAGATATGCTGAACCAATTATCAGGTTTGAATACCAACTAATTGTTGAACAGATTCTTAATTAATTTGATTAATCCGTCACTGTCTGTAGGCCACGTTTCACCAACTCCTATAATAACATAATTACTAGCTCATATTGGTGATTCTAAGTCCAACATCTTTTTCCTTTTTCTATTGCTCCTGATATTTAAAGGGAAACTATTTGTATATGTTCAATTTCAAGTTTATTGTCATAATACTCATACACCGGTATATACTATAACGAAATGCTATTTAGCTAGCTCTCAGACGGTAAGTATGGCAAAAAACAACTTTACAATTGTGTAAGAAAAGAAAGACAGAGACAACAGGCAATGTGCAAAACAACAACAGATAATGTGCAAAACAACAACAGTTGTGCAAAATAAAACGTCAATAGAATGAAATAAAGGATACAAACTTATAGAGAGTGAATGTCTTGACATGTGAGGTAGAGGTAGATTTCAATGTGTGTTTGAGTTTTGATAAAGAGAGAAGGCACCATTAGGGTTCAGATCATAGGTGAGAGAGGCTAGGGGTTTAATAGTCTGATAGTGCGGGGGTAAAAACTGTCTCTGAGTCTGGTACTCCAGGCCCAAATGATCTGGTACTGTTTTCCAGATGGTAGAGGGTCAAACAGTCTGTAGCTGGGGTGTGGGGTCTTTAATGATGCTTAGAGCCTTGTCATATATGTCCTGGCTGGATGGGAGAGCAACCCCAGTGATGGACTGGGCTGTTTTCAGCATCTGCTGTAGGGCTTTGCAGTCAGTAATACTGCAGTTGCCATACATGATGCAACCTGTCAGTATGGTTTCTGTAGTGCATCTGTCTAAGTTAGTGAGGATCTGAGAAGATATCTTAGCCTTCTTCAACCATCTTAGGAAGTACAGGCGCTGTTGGGCTTTCTTGATCAGACAAGTGGCGTTGAGAGACCTTGTAAGTCCTTGGTGATATGGACCATAAATTTGAAGTTACTGACCCTTTCCGCTTCAGTCCCGTTGATGTGGATAGGGGCATGACCGTTTTGCAGTTTTCTGAAATCAACGATCAGCTCCTTGGTTTTACTGACATTGAGGGTGAGGTTGTTGTCCTCCCACCATGTTGTAAGGAGATTGACCTCCTCCCTGTATGCCCTCTCATCATTGTCTGTGATCAGACATACTGTGGTGTCAAAGGCAAATTTGATGATGGAGTTGGTGTTGTGTTTGGCCTTACAGTCGTGGGTATAGAGGGAGTAGAGCATTGGACTAAGCACACAACCCTGGGGGACCCAAGTGTTCAGAGTTAGTGTGCCAGAGGTGTGGTTTCCAAAGGTTGACAGTCTGAGATCTGCCTGTCTGGAAGTCCAGAGTCCATTGTAGAGGGTGGTTTCAAGACCCAGCACACTGAGTTTCTTGACTAGTTTCTCTGGAATGATAGTGTTAAAAGCTGAGCTGATCGATGAATAGCTGTCTTGTGTATGTGTTCTTTTTATCCAGACGGGATAGGGCAGTGTGCATAGCAATGGAGATTGCGTCATCTGTGGATCGTTGGGCCAGTAAGCGAATTGGTACAGTCCAGTGTGTCTGGATGATCAGCCCCATGATCAGCCTCCTGAAGCACTTCATGATAACTATTGAATGGCAGACCCACTTACGTATCTATGTCAGTAATGAATAAAATAAATGCAGTTTACGAAGAACATTTGGGAGGGATGACAACAGCCTAGTTCAATCACAATCAACCTCTACTACTCTAGATCATAATCATTCTTAATGTAATTTTCCATCCATTTTCTAACTACTTTAGCCAATTCAGGATCACCAAAGGAGGCAGATCCTACTCCAGCACGCAATGGGCTCAAGGCAGGCTATAACCCGGATGGGATGCCAGTCCATTGCAGGGGAGACACAGACAAACACATAAGAGCTGATCTTCCCTTATAACAGTTAAGTTACCAGTAAGTCTTTCAAATGTGGGAGGAAACTGAAGCACCCGGAGGAAACCTCTGCAAACACGGGTAGGACATAGACACTTAATTTTTGGGTGTTGTTATTTCTTGTGAAATCCTTTTAAACTTACATCTTAACCAATGCACTTTACACCCAGGATCCAGGATGTGAAGTGAGTCATGCTGGTTGCTTTGGGAAGATACAAGATGGAACAAGTCTGTATCATCTGTTGCAACGTCAGTGGTACGGTTTACTAGGTACAGGGAAGGCTGTACTTTAGGCAATCCCTCTTCATATAGGACATCCTGAAGTCAGACTCTCTCCTGGCTGCCCCAGAGGCCTGACTTTGTTGTTGACTGAATTACACTCTTTAACCAGGTGGCCCTGTGTTTAGTAATTAACTGGTGACGCACAAATGGTTTACACTGAGGTCTGGCAGCATTCCTGACTCCATTATTATGATGTAACTAGCAGCAATAAATTACAATAAAAAATCAGAAATAAAGTGTTTCATTCTCTTAGAAAATTGAAATATAGCTCTTTCTTGTGGTTCTATAACTTCTTATATGCATGCTTTAGAGATACTCAGAGAAAAACAAAACCAAAACAAAAGCAGAGAGATTTCATAACTGGAGAATTTCAAACAAATCCTTCATAAGAAGCAATACAAGGTTTTAAGTTGTGCTGTATTGTATATAGATATGCTAAATACTTGATTGCTGAAAAGGACCGTGGAGAATTGCAATGTAGAAGTATAATAAATCTAATTCATCAGAATTATAATCAGTGCTTGTGCTCATAGTTCTTATACTATGATTTCCCACCTCTTCCACCACTGCCTGATTTCCAAACTATTGTTGAGTCTCTTTTATAATCTTCTAAACCCTCAGAGATGCTTTAAGAAGGCCTCATTGTGAATAAAATGAGTGAATATGTGAGCATTTTAAAAGCAGTGAACTCTGCAACCAGATATCATCCAGGATCAGACGGGAGGATTGGGGATATATTAATAGAGGTCAAATATTTCAGCAACAAGGCAGAAATTAATGTATAGTTGATGTAAGAGTCTATTTTGTGTCTAGATGAAGACGAAACAACTTTCACCCTATTTTTTTGTCAATTACCAAGCATCATTTACCTTTACGTTTTCCGCAAAGCTTTGGAATTGTTCAGGGGCAGCGTGGCAGACAGAGACCTACATGCTTAAGACATGCCCTGTGCTGGATTAATAGTCAAAGTGTCCATCTCCATCTACACCTATAACAATGTAATTCTCAAGAAACTAAGTAAGAACTTCACACAGTTAAAAACAATGTAACATAGTGAACAACACTGAGTGCATAAGAGTGACAAGAATATCCATTTTCTTCTTTCTTATTAGATAACCCTTTCGTTGGGATGTTACTTTTACTTCTGTTTTCTATTTCTATTTTTCCAATCATTTTCCAGGGACTGTATCTCATAGCCTCATAGCAATGTACCCTCTCTATCATTTCTTACGGAGTAACTGCCGAGACATCTCAAATTTCAAGTGACGCTGACTCTAACTTTATTTTTAGGCATTTAAGCAACCTACTGCTCAGAAGGAATGATTTCAGTTCATGTCTGCTGCAAAACTGTTCCAAATCATTATTCAGTAGCCTTCAGATGACAAACCTGTTTGTAATGCTGGAAAACTTACTAGCTTTGTCACCATGACCCTCACTTGATGTTTGGTTATTTTTGTTATTCTGACGATATTTATGCTCCCCCATGTCCTCTGAGTACTAAAGGTTACAGCTGGAACATCACTGTCTCATAATGCTAGGTTTTCTTCATTGAAGACATAAGCAATCTCCTTCCTAAATGCAACCAACTTGAGTCATGGACTTGATGCCCTTCTCCAGATGTGCTAGCTATTTTGCAGATGTGATTTAAAAGATCTGCTTGTTATTTTTTAAATTTAGAGATTTTAAATGGATTTTGTAAAAAATCATTCCAGATTTTTAAAAGACGATTTGATTCCTTAAACCTGTAGCCAATTATAACCAAACTTATAAGCACCGAATAAGTCAACATGACATGATGTGTATATGACTTCATAATCACAAAAACCCCTGCCAAGAACCATTTGACCACCATAAGGATTTTCGTAATCATTGTTTCCTAGCATGTGGTTTTAAACACACCTCTGATTTGATCTAAAAGAAGTTTTAAGAATTTTAATGAACTAGCATTTCTACACGATCTGTCTTTAAATAAACCAGGGCAGAATTTCTCTCATCCCATCAGACGCTTGGATCTTTTTAAAAGATTGTTTTAGTAATATTGTCAACAAGCATGCACCAATTATGAGGTTCAGAGTTAAAAATCGCAACAGCCAGTGGTTTAGCCCTGAGCTGTCAACTTTAATTAAGCAAAAGAATCTATCTTGGCCAACGGTAGAAGCTTGTAAGAATCTCACTGGTTGGCTTTCCTTCAGACTAAAAATAAACGCACACAAGCCATTAGACGCTCTAAAATAAGCTATTACAGCCACCAATTCTCTAACCTCTTAAACAATCCTAAGAAATGTTTTAAGAAAGTTAGATTCATGGAGAGCAGGTCACTACCCAATTATTTACCAGTTTCAATCATTTATATCTTTGTGACACATAGAAATCTAATTTGATCAGCATACATCTCATTACTTCTAGCTTTGTGTTTGATAGTCCCATCCTTAACAATGATGCAATGAAGTTGAGTCTGATAAAGCTCAGGAGTCATTTCAGTTTTCCAGTATGCTTAGTCACTGAATTAAAAGTATTTAGCTTGGTAAAACAGTGGTACAGTATGTCCACTCATTGTAATTGTATTGAGCCATTTTGTAATAAAACATACTGCTTGATATTTGCTACACTTATTTAACCTCTCCTTTAAAAAAGATTAATTCCCAGCAAGTTGGATGTCTGCCTTCATTCAAGGGCAATAAATCTACCTTAACTGCTGTTAGCAAATAGTGAATCTCTTTCTGGAAAGTAATTGTGTTCTTCTGATGTGTCCTGTTTTTTGTTATGGGCATCAGAGTGTCACAGTAGCCTAAAAACATTGCAGTGATATTATAATGGATCTTGACAAAGATGTCACCTGCATAGCTGAGAGCTTTAAGGCTTTTGGTATTCAGGATCAATAAATTAATCTATAATTCTTCTAGATATCAATTGGCTTCAGTATTAATTACAAATCTGTATGCAGTATAAAACTAGACAATTGTTTCATACTAAGGGTATTCCACAAAGTTCTGTCCTGAGCTCTAATTCTTTTCTCCTGTCTATATAACTACTCCTCAGGCAATAAGAAATTCTCATACACTTCTATGCCAACAACATCTTATATGCAGCTGAACCCCACGTTCTCATTTCTAATGACTAATTTGCTTAAATTTCCGTAAAAGTCAGCAGATTGTCAACAGTCAACCACTAAACTAAAATGGAAATAGGACTATTCAATAGAGTTTGAACTGTTAACTAAGTAATACTTACAAATGCTGTACATTAAATAAAGTGGAACAAGAAACACTTTATAAACCTGTCATTTGGATGGATAATGTCTTAACTTTTAAAACTAATTACAAATTGTGATTTTTTTTATTGCAACAAATTTGGTTTAGATGTTCCTTTAGATATACACTAGTTCACACTCTGTACACCACCCATCTTGGACTGTAATTCTATGTACAGTACATATCTTTTACATAACTACAGTATGTGCACACTAGGGGCTGTAGTGTGGCACAGTGGGTAGCATAATGGACTTTATGGAGTTGGAAGGGAAGCTGTGGGTTCAAATTACAGATGAAACACTGCTTCTGCATCCTTGAGCAAAGTAGATCAGCCTCCTGCTAAGAAATCAAAGCATATGCTGTAAAGTCAGGACAACGGCAGGGAAATTATAGTCCTAAGGATATCAGTCACCTTCCCCAAGCTCTTTTAAATCTAGACTTTAAATCTTTGGAAGGGCTTTTATTTAACTGGTCCTGTCTGCCACTTCACTTTTCTACTATATTCCAAACCCTCATTGTAACTTCGTAATTCTGCTGTCTCCCCTCAATTTTTTTCTTTAAGGCACTTCGAGAAGCCACTTTTGAACTTGCTAGATATAAAAGTTTATTATAAATCCCAGTATCCTCCGATGAAGCCTCAGCTAGTCAGATAGCCAGACATTTATTTTCTGCAGCTGAAAACAATTCTTTCTACTTGAAATATATGAAAGTACTGACACTGTTGCGGAATAACAGCAGAAGAAAGACCGCAAGAGGAAGCCATTTGGCCAGTCCTGCTAGTTTGGCAGTTTAGCAGTTGAGTCAACCTAAAACTTCGGCCAGCCATTTCCAGAAGCAAACCAAGGTTTAGGCCTCAACCACCTAGTGTGGAAACCTGTTGCAGACACAGACAACTCTTTGTATAATACATTCTCTTTTCATTTCGAATTGTGACACCTCTTTGTTTCACTAAAGGGTCTGCAGAAGTCTGCCGAGCAAGCCTCATCTATGCTTAGGATTTTATATACTAGGATCAAATCTTTTCTCAACCTCTCCTAGACACTGTCCCTCACAAATGCATTAGACATTCAGCACCAAACAGCTCTGAGGGTTTTATCAAACAGATTTTTATTGGAAAAACATTTCTCCAGAACAATCCATTGCCTAATATCAAAGGCAAAAGAAAAATAAGAAGAGAACAAACTCTGCCAGCTTCTTAAGCAAGATGAAGCTAGTGCTTCAAGTTTTGGCATCTATAGTTTTCTGAAAAACAATGTACAGGCTTCTATGGAAAAAGTCAGTAACTATAAAGATAGCATTTGAGCAGCATTTTAACAGCTGTTAAAGTAAGTGCTTGGTAATGACAAAAGTTAAATAGCATCAGAATTAATGAGTGCAACATGCACACCCGTCTTAAGACAAAAAAGCTGTACTCCAGACACCTCTTCTACCATAGTGCAAACACTATCATGAGCAAATCCTTCAGTCAAGAGACTGTTTCTGCAGGTCAGCTACACCAGAAGTCGGCAGTTCCTTCTTCACCCATGGTTATATTACAAAACTGCAGCTATTATCCAGTCATGGCTTCTGCCACTGCAGTCTGCACACTGTCCCGACCAGCTTGACCATCCTGCTGGACAGTGCGTGCCGTTAGCGAAAGGTCAGTAGGGAGCAAATCCTACTTGTTTCACCGGGGTTCTGAAAAGCAAAATCAAATCAAAAAGAGAGGATATTGATCAACTAAGCAAGCATACACAAAGTGGATTATTTTATTTCTACACGCACAGCAGCTAATATTTTGCAGCTCAACAACACTCTCTTATTAAAGAGTGCTGTGGACCTGCATAGCTCTGTAGCAGCTACAGGCCACTTGTGTCCCCGGTAGCTAAGAAGGGCTGGTAACACTTCAAGAAACCTACAAGCTGTGCTAGACAAATTAACATGAAGTAACTAAAACAAGATTAAGGAATTTATTTTTCACTTCACCACACATTTAAATATAAAGCATCAAATGGAGAGACCTGAGTTCAGTGCCCTCCTGAATACGAGAACCTTTACAAACATGAGGTGGCCTTTCGGCCTCCTAGCTCTTTTGGTCTCGTGTGCTTTCAATGGTTTAAAACTGAACTCAGCACTCCATTCTCAACTGTTCCTTCCTCCCCAGCTCCCCCCCAAAAGGCTTCCAGAGCTACACCCCAGGGCTGCCTGACCTCATGGCGTTTTCGGTGTGGAAGTGGGTGCTTCCTGCTGTTCTGGCTCAGGATGTGCACTTGGCATGCCTTCCTCCTTCTTCTCGGCAGCCAGAAAATCATGAATGGCGTTCTCTATGTGGGGCCTGAAAATGTGGTTCAGTTTGGGATCCACCACCTGAGTAATGATTCTGTCCACGCCAGCCTCCAGCATGCCTGACCTGCTCCGAACACAGACACGCACTGTATTATTGATCAATTGCCGCGGCAATTAGTGAGTTCAGAGCTCAGAACACAAGCGGGTCTCTCAGGCTGTCAGGCCGGATTAGCGCGGGGGCAGAGCGATCCCCTGCCACGTGCTGGAGCGCAGCAGGGTGCCGCCGCTGGGATGCGGGCGCTCACACACCCACGCACGAGCTCGCACAATCAAGGCGGGGGCGCTAGCAAGCGCGGACGTGGACTGAGTGGGCTTGTGGGAAGAGGCGGCCGCAGCTTGCAAATTCGGACCCCTCCCCCCCCCCCAACGAATACTAGGGCGCTCCAGACGCGCAGCAGCCCATCGATTATCTGATTCCCCCTCCCCCAAAGAGGGAAGGGGTCACAGGATTTTCAAAAATGATGGATAATCGGGTCATTTTTTTTAGGAGATTATCTTTTCACTTTCGTTAAGAACACTGTGCTTTGGGGTGCTGTGCATGTTTTTTTTAGTCTTTTGATTTTAACTGTAGACAAATGTTAGAAATATTGTAGGGAGTGTGAAGAAGACCGACACACCCGAAGAAGGTTCCACAGCCGAAACGTTGTGTTTCCTTTCTTTTCTTTTCAGCATGGAATAAACCTATTACTTGTTCCTTTGCAGCCTACGCATGCCGACGCAGCTACCCACCTGAACTATAAAAATAAGAGTACACACACACACACAAAGTACAGTACTGCAAAAACAGCACTGTACAGTATGCATTACTTCAGCTTGTCTAATGCAAAGCACAGTATATTTAGCTTGGTTACAGTGAGAAAGAAATGATTGTTTCACATCCTGCAATTTACTTTAAAGTGTACAAGTAAGGTGCAAGTCTGGAAATATAATGATTGTGAAATAAGGTCAGCATTAATACAATTTATTTGGTCTGCTGCTGGAGTTACTTCCCAAAACAGCGGACCGAGCGAGGGAATCACGTGTTTGTGGTTCAGATTGTTACATAAAGCCCATGCACTGCTCGCTAGCACAGCCCAACGTGGTGCCACATCGCTCGCCTGACACTGCCTTCAGCGCGGATTTCCAGCAAACAGCAAAATTACACGCCACTCTCTCCAGGTCAGCCATGACAGCCAGAAAATACAAGAACCAAGATTACCGGTCGTCGAATAATCAATGATCTCTGTCAATGTACTGCATTGGCAGACATAACTGAAATACAGAACAGTACTGCTTCTGGCTACTGTGAGACAAAACTGTGTTTTTTTGTTAAAGTTTTTTTTTAAAAGAAAAAAGGGAATACCTTAACAGACATAAAATGATTGCGGTTTTGTCAATTAAAAGGTGCTAACTGAAGAAAGGAAGAGAGGATAAACTGCTTAATTAAATTTCTTACCAAGACCATTCTTAATTAAACTTCTACACTGACTATTAGGAACCCCCACAGAATAATATGTTGGGCCACAGCAGGGTGTAGCTTGTATTCCATAAGGGTTAATATTTCCAGTCTGATGATTAATGATTGCATTTTTACTACAAATCATATTTTTTTTAATACGATATTGAGCTGGAGAATGTAACATGATCAGATCCTTAAAGCAGCACACAGCTCTCACAGGAGGCAATTCTGGCTCGGATGGTGGAAAGAGGGAGTGAAAGAGCAGTTGCATTCTGCAGTACCCTCCTGAACATGACAAGTTACAAACAAGAGGTGGCCTTTTGTTCCTCCTAGTTCTATTGGTTGATAGTACCTAATTGATCCAAGCATCTATTCCAGCAGTTTCTGCAGAGAAACCAAGGAATTGGCTTCAACAACATGTTTGAGTAGCCTGTTCCACACTCCCACCACCCTTTGGGTAAAGAAGTGCATCCTGTTGCTGGTTTTAAATGCACCTCCCAGCAGATTCCACTTGTGTCCTCTGATCTTGCTACTACCAATTCTGAACTGAGCGGAGGCTGAGGACATAACTTTGAAAGCCTTTTCTCCCCTTAGGAACTGAGCCGAGAATAAAATCCGACCTCAAAGGGAAAAAAAAGAGTGCCGCCAACTCACTATTTTGAAACCCGCCTCACAAGATCCGTTCTACATTTAACCCAGACGCGGATCATCAGCTGGGATACACCCACTGCTCCTCTGCAAAATGGCTTTCTTCTCCTCCCTCACCCCAAATGAATGGTCACTAGCTGACCTTTAAACTGAAGTGAAAAACATGACATCTTCTCACTTATCTTTCCCAGTCTCTTGCCACGCGAGCAACTGGAAAATCACCCCGCACACCACGCAGGCTGGGGTTACTGGAGGAAGGAACTCACTGGACCACACTCTGTCTCAGGCCATTGCGCACTTGGTTCTTGTTGATGGCCGGATTCCACTCCTGGCTGTTCAAGTGATTGGCTACGAAGTTGTCCACCTTCTGCCGCAGGTTCTGATAGGCCGGCTAGAGGCACAGGGGTTAAAAACACACACACACAACAGGTCAATTTCTCGGTTTCCACCGCCATTCCTCCTTTGAATCACAGGCACCTAATATGAAACCGATAAAGTTTAAAGTCGCCCGAAAGTTTCTGTTAATTCTTGTGTTGCAATAATTCCTGGAACCTGCAAATTTCCTTTCGTTTAGCATTTTTTTTTGTATCCTGCTCAAGACTGATTTTGGCCTCCGTCGAGCTGAAAGCGTTTTACACTTTGCTGGCCGCTTTTCAACGTAAAAAAGCGTCAGAATACTGGCGTCAGCTCAATAAATTCTCAAAAACCGCTATCTGCAGGCTCTATTCACTGATACCGCCGGATCTGAGAAGTCTAAAATCACAATAACGAAAGTCGAGGATTTTCATTTTACTCAAAGCCTGCTGCGAGTCGGCAGTAAACAGGCCGTGAAGTAAATCAAACTTTAGACAAATCCGAGCCCACCTTCGTGTCCACGTCTGCCAGGCAGTCTCTGCGGAACTCGTCGAACAGGCCCCGGTTCTTCAAGTGCTCCACAATCTGGTTTATGAGCTGCGGGTCTCCAGGCGGCAGGCTCGCTGCACCGGCACCGCTCTCCGCCATCGAGTTGGCGTGGCCGCCGATCCGAAAATAACAAATGCTCAGACAAGTACAGTAACTTTCACACACATACAACAGGAAAAAAAACTTATCTCGCAATACTTCGCTCTTTCTCTATCGGCGAAGGTTAACAAAGGAAAGAAAAACAATGACTGAACTGCAGTCTGGGATCAGTAGTTTGGCATCATCTGCTAAAAACGGAAGGCCGTCGATGGAAGAACTACGTGTCCCAAGCCGCACAGAGCGCAATGGCTGAGGTTCACTTCCGTTTTTAGGGGCGTTTGGGTAATGTATTTTTCCTCTGCTTGGGTCCTCTAGCAGTGCAGTATGGTCTCGTATAAAACTGTTTTTGGAGGAGAACGTCCAGTGAGATTCCCCAAAGGTTGGCCAAGCCTAACGATAGGAAACCCGTGGTTTTACTTTCATTTATTTTTAAGTATCATAATGGTCCAATGTGTGGTCAAAAAAACAATTATCTTCCAAGACGTTTAAAAATATAAACACACACCAGCATTTAGTCTTTAACAGTAAGAGGTGTTGGGAGTAAGTCTGAGCCCTTCCTTCCTAAACTTCCTTCCTTATTACCATTAGTCTTGTTTGCAGGAAGTGAGAGACAATTAAGCTTTTCATTATCTACTGCATCTTGAGCGGCTTGTGTCTGGACACGTAACGAGTCACGCAGGAATTCAGTCGGTGTGCCTTCAGCAGCGTATGTAACTGCCGAGCAGGCAGTGCATTGTCCACCGTGTTTGTGCAAAACACGAAAAGGTGATTGGCCTCCATCTTATGGACCCACTGCTACAAGTGGCTGAGGTGGGAAAATTATTCCTCTAAAATTCACTTTTTGCTCTCTTCATTCAAGATAAGTGGCAGTCAGGGAAGCTGCACAATCCTGAAGGGTGCTGGAGCCTGAAGGAGCTGGCAATTATCAATTGTATCAAATACCCTGGAAAAATCTACGATGGAAGGCCTTCTCTTGATTTGGAGTGCTGAATTAAATAACTGTGTGGTCCAAAAAGTATTGCGGTAGCCTATACAGAGCCGAACGGTGTACTATAATAATAATTAATAATTGCTTACACTTATATAGCGCTTTTTCTGGGCACTCCACTCAAAGCGCTTTACAGGTAATGGCCACCACCACCAATGTGCAGCATCCACCTGGATGATGCGACAGCAGCCATAGTGCGCCAGAACGCTCACCACACGTCAGCTATCAGTGGGGAGGAGAGCAGAGTGATGAAGCCAATTCATAGATGGGGATTATAAGGAAGCCATGATTGGTAAGGGCCAATGGGAAATTTGGCCAGGACGCCGGGGTTACACCCCTACTCTTTTTTTTGAGGAACGCCCTGGGATTTTTTAATGACCACAGAGAGTCGGAGTCGGGTTACATCTCATCCGAGGACGGCGCCCGTTTACAGTATAGTGTCCCCATCACCATACTGGGGCATTAGGACCCACATGAACCACAGGGTGAGCACCCCCTGCTGGCCCCACTAACACCTCTTCCAGCAGCAGCCTTAGTTTTTCCCAGGAGGTCTCCCATCCAGGTACTGACCAGGCTCACACCTGCTTAGCTACAGTGGGCTGTCAGTTGTGAGTTGCAGAGTGATATGGCTGCTGGCAATATTGTTGTACTGTTGTAACCCGTTTTAACTTGTTGTTGCTGAATGCTTCAGAATGAAACTCTTTCAAAGACTCAGCAACTTCATACTCTTCTTCTCACACTGACCTCGTCTCAGTGGTTAAAGAAACTTGTTCCAGTTTCCATGGCAAAACCTCACAGTGACAGACCAAACTGAAGGGCCAGTGTGATGGTCAGTGTTATTGAGCCCCTTTGATGGTGCATTTTAGAAGGAACGGTGTGCGCAACTATCTGTTTAAATACTTACAGGGTGTCTTTTAACTCAGGCTACAGGGAAAATGAATCACGTCCTCACGGCAGAAAGCTTGCCTGGCTGATCTTACTGGAGTTAAATTAGGCCTGCGTTGCTGAGCAGGCAATTACTGAAGCATAGGTATGCTGGATTATTCTGTGTAGCTCCTGCATATTAAGTGTGACATTGAGAAACCTGCTCCAGTGAGTGAATGATTGTGTCTTTTGAAACTGTTAAAGGTATACCAGCAGGAAATGGAAATCCTGACAAACCGTTCTACTGTGAAATCTGAATGCCTGGGCTTACACAATCCTCTTTGCATGTGTTTGTTTTAAAGCCGCATCCTAAACTGTAATTCAGGATGCAATTTAAATGAGAAAATTAGTATGAGGTGTGATCATTCACTGTGCACGTTTACTGTCTACAGTAATATCTGCCTGCATTTGATTTAATATCCTCACCCTTGTCTGTTGTCCTGTGTTACTGTGCCTCCACATTTCTCCAGGCCTTCTCATCCTGTTACCTGGTGATTAGTACTTCTTTTCTTTCCTGCCTCTTGGCCTGATCTTTGCATCCCTTTGACTCCCCTGGTAGCCACGTACTATACAGAGCTTACTTCAACACATTAGTGGCCACAGTTAAGTTACGTCTATAGTTACAGCCAGTGTTCCACTAGAGGGAGCTAATTCAGTGGTTGAATCAGGTCAGTTCTTTAAACCTAAGATACACCAGAACCGTAGAGTAAAAGAGATAAAATCATATATTTGTTTTAATTTTCAGTGTAAAATTGTACACTTTTTTAGAATGAAATATTTACATTTTGCAGTAAAATGAAAAACACATGATAAAATTAGGCATGTCTCACACCCTCAGGGGTACCCCAAGATAACCACTGAATGTTGTCAATAATAATAATAATAATAATAATAATAATTGCTTACACTTATATAGCGCTTTTTCTGGACACTCTACTCAAAGCGCTTTACAGGTAATGGGGACTCCCCTCCACCACCAATGTGCAGCATCCACCTGGATGATGCGACGGCAGCCATAGTGCGCCAGAACGCTCACCACACATCAGCTATCAGTGGGGAGGAGAGCAGAGTGATGAAGCCAATTCATAGATGGGGATTATTAGGAGGCCATGATTGGTAAGGGCCAATGGGAAATTTGGCCAGGACGCCGGGGTTACACCCCTACTCTTTTCGAGAAACGCCCTGGGATTTTTAATGACCACAGAGAGTCAGGACCAATAGCCACACCAATAGGACAATAGCCACACCAGGTATTAGTTGGATTAGTGGTGATGATGTTTGAACTGGATTCCATACGTTCTCACATCAGTGTAATTTGCCTTGAGTAGGGTATAGAAAGGATGTGCATAGTGGTTGTAGTTTAGTAGTTTTTTTTTTCCCTTGTTGTTGTGTGAACCTGAAAAGGCCACGGCAGAGCCTCTTGAGCTGACTGGACTCTGTGTGGCCCACAAACAGTGCTCAATGTTATGGGCCCAGACTGGCAATAATCCTGGACTTGCTTGTCTACTTTAACATGAGGAGTCCAAATTCAGAGGTACTTAGGGTCAGTGAAACCAGTGTGTGCTTGGGGATCAATAGCCAAGGCGAGATAGAGCGTATCTGTATTTAATAGGTGTTCTTAGGAAACCAAGCCGAGACTATTTCTCTGACAACCTCCCAGCCACGCCCTGCTGAGATTTCAGCTGTTCAGGCTTCATTATTACGCAACAGGCAGACGGTGATTCCACACAAAAAGGTTTTTCATTTCAGTGTGAAATTAACGTCTGCTTGTTCCTTTCGTTCCTGGTCATCCCTGTCTTGTTTGAATGTTTGTGTCAAGTAGTGGTTTTGTGTTACTTAATTGTGTTATTTCTTGCTTATAAATGCAAGAAATTGACAATACTTTGTTGCCGCTGCTCTGCAGTATGTAACTCTTTCACCGTTTCTTGGCTCTTACAGTTCATTGTTCTGAACAAAAGCTGCCTTGCGTAAAGGTGTCTGCTCAATGTTACCACAACTATGATATACATGTACACAAAAAAAGGCAGAAACGGTGGCGGAGTTGAAACATCATTAATGGATACAGCCTGGTGAGAGATACTGAAGTAATCGAGGCTGTGTGTCAGCTCTGAGCTCAGAGTCAGCAGGAGGGCTTTTATTTAACACTGTGGTCTAAATTCTTTAATTGAAAAGAATCAGCAGGAAGTCACTTCCTATATGAAGTCAATAGCAGCCTCTTGAGTTTCCAGGGCCTGTTGCCAGGCAACTAGAGAAAGGAGCCATGGCGACATCCAGAAGAATAAAAAGCAAGAGGCCTGCAGGTGAGAGAGCTAGTTCCCAGGTAGATGCCAAACTTATCACTGTTAACTGATTCTTGTCCGTAGTGCTGTGTGGCATCCTTCTGGCTTTTATTCTGAAAAGCCATGTTTCCTGTTGTGACCTTTGACCCTTTGACATTATTTTTAAAGGGGTGGTTAACAAGGAGGATGTCCAAAGAACTATAGTAGAGGAATAAAAATCTGCTGGAACAATTCTCTCATTTTGCCTATGATGGCTGAGAATCTAGACTTAGAGAGGAGCTGATGTGTCATCCCGATCAACAAGTGCATATACAGTCTATGAGAACATCACCACTTACTGGGGTCTGTGCCAATTTTTTTCACTCCAGATCTGCCTCATTTCTGAAGTAACAGTCTGTGTACACTCATCCTCAGGTTTCCATAGGGCATTTGACTTTTTTTTTATTGTACAGCTTATTTTATTCAAACATTTTACGTAACAGTTCTAAATATTGTATCACCTGAAACCTGTTTCAGACAACTGAAAATAAGAACTGTGCAATTGTCCGCAGGAAAAAAATACCGCTTCAGATTAGTTTTCAATAGTAATCCACTAGATGGAGGTATAGCTTCACGATGAACAGCTGGGCGTGTGGAGGACAGGACGAAGTTTTCTCTCCACGTTTAGAGCTTTTCCGTTTGTAGAAAACTGTGTTGCTATTAAGCGGTTTATAATTTGGATTGATACAATAGTTAAAGAGCTTAGTGCTGGCCTCCTTTTTTGCTAAACATAATTTAGCTTTAAAAGCTGAATGTCACGTAAATAAATATTCCTAAATCTATTCGTAACTATCCCATCATCGCACGCAAAATCATTCATGTATGGTTTAATCCTCTTAAACCCAGGTTTTGCCTCTTGCCTGTTTAAATCACAGTCCCCCTGCGAGCTGATTGATATTTCCAGTCAGGAAAGCATTCCACCTCCTGTTGTATGGGGCATTTTGTAGTTATATAATCTGCTTGTCACAATAGTACAG